GTGAAAATGATCCTAGCCAGCACGAAGTGGACCCCAGCTCCCTGCCAGGTGCTGTGCTATGTGATCTGCATGAGTTTATTAACTGAATCTTCACAAGAGTCTTAGGAAAGAAATTCAGTTATCATCCACTTACACAGGTGAGGAAACAAAAGCTCACAAGGTTAAAAGTTAACTTTGACACAGGGCGACATCGTTCTTCCAGAACTTGAAGTCCAGGTGAGTCAGTCCCCAGATCACAGTGCTTTTCCAAACACATTGCTTCCTCCAGAGTTGGAGCTCAGACCAGAATGGACATTAAGGCATAAAGAATTATTAACAATTATAAACCCTTAGAAACCCAAGAAAATCCAAAGAGAAATTCCAACAGGAATTTTTTTTTTTAACTTGGCGAGCTATTTGTAAAGTTTATACAAAAGTGAAAATGACATGGGGCGCCTGGGTGGCTCAGTCGGTTAAGCATCCGACTTCGGCTCGGGTCACGATCTCAGGCTTGTGGGTTCGAGCCCCGCGTCGAGCCCCGTGTTGGGCTCTGTGCTGACAGCTCAGCTCCGGGAGCCTGCTTCCAATTCTGTGTCTCCCCCTCTCTCTGCACCTCCCCTGCTCGTGCTGTGTCTCTCTCTGTCTCTCAAAAAATAAATGTTAAAAAAAATTTTTTTAAAAACTTCTGTGTAGCAAAAGATAGTTAAAAACAAAAGCATTATGAATGGATAAGTAAAAGTGGTGTATGCATACAACAGAACATTATCTATTCTTAAAAAGGAAAAAAAAAATCTGTTACTTGCTACAACATGGATGGTCTTGGGGACATTTTGCTAAGTGAATTAAGTCAGTCACGAAAAGACAAATGCTATACGATTTCTCCAATCCCTGTGAGGTGCCTGGAGTAGTCGAATTCATAGGGACAGAAAGTAGAATGCTGCTTACAGGGGGCTGGGGTCGGGAGAAGTGGGAGTTACTGTTTAATGGGCATAGAGTGTCAGTTTTGCAAGGTGGAAAGAATTCCAAAGATGAACAGTGCCAATGGGTGCACAACAATAAGGGTGTACTTAGTAACACTGACCTGTACACTTAAAAATGATTAAAATGGTAAATTTTATATTATGTATTTTACGACCAAAAAATTGGGGGGTGGGGAGAGAATCACACTAGAAGAAATACTGAAATAATCTACAACAGACAAAGGGTTAAGATCCTGAATAGGTATAGAGCTTCTGCGATTCATAGGAATAGGAAAAAGCAACTCAATAGAAAAATGAGAGGGGCGCCTGGGTGGCTCAGACAGTTAAGCATCTGAGTTTGGCTCAGGTCATGCTCTCACGGTTTGTGAGTTTGAGCCCCATGTCGGGTTCTGTGCTGACAGCTCAGAGCCTGGAGCCTGCTTCGGATTCTGTGTCTCCCTTTCTCTCTGCCTCTCCCATGCTCATGCTCTGTCTCTCTCTCTCAAAAAAATAAACATTTAAAAAAATAGAAGAAAAATGAGCAAAGGACATGAACAGAAGACGCACATGACCATAAATATTAAGAGAAATTAAAGTGCAGTAATAATAAGCAAAATACAAATTAAAATGCCATATTCATTCATTTACCAGATTTGCAAATTTAAATGGAAAAAAAAAGATAATGGCTGATGTTAGGAAGGATGAGGGAAGCAGATTCTCATGCACTAAATTTAAATCAGTACCTGGGGTGGGAGGCAGTGCTATGATTTGAAGAACTGTATCAAGTGAAAAAATGGACAAACCTTTGGACCCTAGAACTCTATTTCACAGATATATTCAGGCTTACACACAAAGATGAGTGCAGGCTTTCCTAAAGTACTGCTGCTAATGTTGAATAATTTGAAATCATCCAAATATCCATCAAGAAGGGAAAAAATGGATAAATTATGTTTCTAATTTAGAATAACATGTACCCTTTAACAAAAGGTTTGTACTGACATGGAAAGATCCCTAAGACCTGGATAATGAAAAAGTAAGCTACACAATATATAGTAAGATCTCATTTACATACATTAAGATATATGTATCTGTACATATTATGCAAATGCACAGAAAACAAAATCATGGAATGGTATTTACCAAATGTAACCATCCCTCTTCTGAGAATAAGAGTGATCATGGTAGTTCCACATTTCATTCCATATACTTCTCTATTTTTTTTTAATTTTGCTTAATTTTTAATGTTTATTTATTTTTGAGAGGAAGAGAGATGGAGCACGAGTGGAGAAGGGGCAGAGAGAGAGGGAGACACAGAATCCGAAGCAGGCTCCAGGCTCCCAGCTGTCAGCACAGAGCTGGACACGGGGCTCGAACCCAAGAACCACAAGATCATGACCTGAGCTGAAGTCAGATGCTTAACCGACTGAGCCACCCAGGCACCCCTACACTTCTCTATTTTTTTGAATAAGAATATAGTCAGTTATTACTTGAGTTGCTTTTAAATTTTTTTTTCAACGTTTTTATTTATTTTTGGGACAGAGAGAGACAGAGCATGAACGGGGGAGGGTCAGAGAGAGAGGGAGACACAGAATCGGAAACAGGTTCCATGCTCTAAGCCATCAGCCCAGAGCCTGACGCAGGGCTCGAACTCACGGACCGCGAGATCGTGACCTGGCTGAAGTCGGACGCTTAACCGACTGCGCCACCCAGGCGCCCCTTGAGTTGCTTTTAAAACATAAAAATGAAATTCGTACAACCTGGAATATATAAATGTTGAAAAGCCAGTACAGTTGATGCTTGAACAATGCCAGTTTAAACTGCATGGGTCCACATACACACAGATTTTTTTCAATAAATACAATACAGAATTGTAAATGTAGTTTCACTTCCTTATGATGTTCTTAAGAACATCTCCCTTTCTCTAACCTACTTCATTGTAAAAACATAGTATACATAACATGCACAATGTGTTAATCAACTGTTTGTGTTATCGGGTCAACAGTAGGCTATTGGCAGTTAAGTTTTGGGGGACACAAAAGTTCTATGTGGATTTTTAGGCACCCCTACCGCCCGCGCTGTTCAAGGGCCAACTGCAGAACTAAAATGAGAAGGGAAGGAAGGCTGTGAAGCCAATAACACAGCTGTTGGGAAAGAAACTCACTTTATGCAGCTACAAAGAAGCCTGCTTGGAGGGAAGGATATTTCTCACAATATTCTATTTGTTTGATTTTTCCCCATTTTACTTTTTTTTTAAATCAAGGAGGACTTCCTTTTCCAGGGGAAAGAGGGCCAAGTCTCCCTGTTCCTGTAATTGAGCAAGATGACACTCAGGAAGATTTCCTTCTACCCGAGCCAACAGTGCCCCAGCCTAGTTCCCACAGGAAAACATCTCCTTCCGCTTGTGGAAGGATATTACCACTGATTTCTCTTTCAAAGCCATAGTTTTCCTGACTCGGTTCCTTTTCTAAGACAAAAGTGCTATAAGAATCATCAGAGACTCTGGCACACCTACATGTGCATCTCTGTAGGTGTTCCTGGCCCTTCAGGTTAAAGAAAGGGGTAGAAGGAGAGACCCAGTGTGTAAGTACTTTCCCCAATGTGGCCTGAGTGGGACACTGTCAAGGTGACCTTTGATACAAAAGGCTCAGACATATTTGCTGGGACAACATGAGGCAGAAGCAGGACCAAGATGTAAGTCACAAGCAGACAAGTTATAGCTGAGAATTAACTTTGTCTGGAATGAAATATTAGGTGGTGAGCTCCCCGGCACTATTAGCTTCTAATAGTACTGAATGCTACCAGGGCAGATACAAATTGAGCACAACCTGAAGATTCTAAACAGGCAGCTGAAGTTGGAGTCCAGTGTTTTTAATAAGCTCCAAGGATTGGGGCCCTTCAGCCTCCAGGGTGCATTTTAAAGCAGCCCCGGAGGGAGACAAAGTAGGACAGTAATGAAGCACCACCCCCAGAACCACTCCAAAAAGAGTCCTAGAGTTTGAGGCACAGCATAGTGGTTATAAGGAGACTCCAAGCCAATTCCTGACTCTCACCTGTTAGCTGTGTGACCACAGACAAGTTACAGAACTTCTCTGGGCCTTGGTTTCCTCACTGATAAAACGAGAATGACAGAGCTATTCCCTCCCTCACTGGTAAAGCTTAAACGAGCTGGCATATGTAAAGTACTCAGAACAGTGCCTGGTCCATCGTATGAACCATTATTATTTTGCAGAGAAGGAAACTGAGGCTGAGGCGATGATTAACTTCACCCCAGTCCCAACGTCAGCTTTAGACTTGGGCATAACACCCAAAGCTTCTTTCCTTCCTGTTCAAATCAAATATACCATCTTTATTTCTATGGGATCCTCTACATGGACCCCCACTTTTACTCCTCTTGAGTTGGAGCATAAGCTCAGTCCCAAAGAGTCTTGGAGCCTGTCGGTTACCAAGTGGCCTTTCTCAGTGGCACCTCAGTGGCACTCAGTGGCGCCTCTCACCGCAGGCAGGCAGGCAGGATGCATGCGTGCATGGCTGGGCTGATGAAAGACAGGCCAAGGACCATCAAGAAAGGACTCATGGTGTCAGGGCCAAAGCCCTGGGCTACGGGATTTCGGAGTCACCGCAGCCAGTTTGTCGCTCTTGGACAAGTTACTGAACCCCTTCATGCAGGGTGGAGGCGGGGGGCGTTTGAGTTTGCAAGTTTCCCGCCGCTTAACCGGCCAGCTCCGCGCCCCCTCCATTCGAGTGGAGGAGGAGGATAGGTGTCTGTCCCGCGCTCCCGCACCACCGCACCCCCGGGATGTCCTCGCTGCACACCGGAGTGAGCGCCGCCCACTTCCAGGTGTAAACAGAGGCCAGCAGGAGGGACACCACCGACAACTCCGAGTGGAGGGAACTTTGGCGGGGGGTGGGGAATACAATTAACTTCCGTGGTGATGTGTTGGGAGAGAAGCAAAGGTGGATTAAAGTGGGAATTTTAATTCAACACACATTCCCGACTACTGAGAAAGAAGCGACGGGACTGTGAACTTCCAAGCAGGGAAGGAAACGCCGCGACGGACCCAGCATTGTGCGCTCTGGAAAGAATTACTCTTTACAAGTTACGCACCAGGCAGGCGGGCCAGAGGCGGGGAGCCCTCAAAGCACCGGCTCGGAGCGGGTCGAACGGTGAGCCAAAGCAAACGCGGGGCGGAGGCGGCGCGGGGCGGGTCAGGCAGGCGGCCGTGCGCTGGACCGCGTCCAGGCGGGCAGACCCCGGGAAGGGGCTTGCAAAGCCGTCCGATCCTTCCGGACGCCGCGCCGGGTCCGCTCGCGGGCAGGGCTGGCGGGGCGCGGGGAAGGCTGCCGCGGGGCGCGGAGGAGAGCGAGCGGGCGGCGGGGTGGCAGGGCGGCGGGGGTACTCACCCCGCGGGCGGGCGGAAGGCTCCAGGCCGGGTCCTGGGCGGCGCGGGGCCGCGGGTGCGGACGCCGGTGTGGACGTGCAGGGGCGGCCCCGCGCCGGGGCTATGAATCAGCTGCGGGGCGAGCGCCGAGGGGCGGGAGTTACGGGAAAGCCGCGGGGGAGGGCAGAGGGCTGAGGACTTTTGCAATTTCCCGTCCTGCTGCGCACTCTTGGCACTCCTGGGACCCACAGGAATTCTCCCCCTTTTGGTCCCGGGGGGGAAGCGGCCGGGACCCTGCGGGAGGCGGCCGGGACCCCGCGGAGGTGCGGCCCCGGGCCTCGGCGGGCGGGCGGGCGGGCGGGGAGCGGTGGGAAAGGAAGTGGGAGAGGCCTGGGAAGGAACAGGGGAACCCACGGCTCCGCGGGAGGCGTCGCGCGCCCAACACTCCTGCCCCGGCCGGCGGGCCCCGCAGCGGCGGGACGCCGAGGCCTGCCGAGGGCCCCGGGACCTGGTGTGACCGCGCGAGGCCACTTGTTATCCCAAGCGAGGGGGCGGAACCCTGGGCTCCCCGGCAGAAAATCTTTGGGCAGAAGACGAGTGCTTCAGCCAAACTTCGGGCTGTGTTTCCACTAGGCGGTCAGAGAGACGAAAAGGTGTTTGGACAGTTAGTCCTAGGACCCTGGCTCTGGTCCGGGTTTTGAAACGCGCCGAGTTTCATCTGTAGCAACAGTCCTGAAGCTTTTGTGTCACAGAAAGCTGTGTCTGCTACAACTTGCTTTTCCTCTTAAAAATGCCATCCAGGGGCGCCTGGGTGGCTCAGTCGGTTAAGCGTCCGACTTCGGCTCAGGTCATGATCTCACGTTCCGTGAGTTCGAGCCCCGCGTCGGGCCCTGTGCTGACAGCTCAGAGTCTGGAGCCTGTTTCAGATTCTGTGTCTCCCTCTCTCTGACCCTCCCCCGTTCATGCTCTGTCTCTCTCTGTCTCAAAAATAAATAAACGTTAAAAAAAAATTAAAAAAAAATGCCATCCACTCTTTGAAATTCACATTTCAAATACTGGGCCTTTGAAATACCTATGGGGCCTCTCTTTATGATGGGACTATGGAGAGCCCCTGTGGTCCTTGGAGCTGTTGTGGAGATCATCCTAACACTGCCCGGTTGGGGAAGGTCAGGGAAGAGACACGACCTCCAGTTGACCCTTGAGCTGCGCTTGGGCAATCTGCGCTTCTCATCCCTTTCCCTGTCCTTGGAAAGTGGGTTCTGCTTGCCTTTTGGGCTCTTAGGGGATGCTCCATGGACATAACCTTGAGATAGTGACATAGTGTTGAGAACACCTGCAGGGTACACGTGACTAAACCTAGTTAAGATCTCTGCATAAACTCTTAAGGTTTGGCAGAGGGGTGCAGGGATGGCTCATCTTGTTACCACTCAAGTCTCCTATGTAAGTTCCCTTTGCTTGTTAGGACTGTACCTAACTACAGGGTCGCTTTGGTGGCTCAGTCAAGCATCTGACTCTTCAGCTCAGCTCAGGTCCTGATCTCAGGGTTGTGAGTTCAAGCCCCACTAGTTGGGACCCACACTGAGCCCTACTTAAAAAAAAAAAAAAAAAAAAAAAAAAAAGATAACATCTACCAGCTTGAGTGGCCAGTGTCTCTCATAGGTCTCTCCCTGCCCTCCAAGTACTGGCCGGTTTCAGATTTCACCTGGGAAGCTCCCAAGAGGGTCTGGGATCCACATGCTGCTTCTGTGACCAGCTAGGACCCAGAGAAGAGAGCAGTGAGGCTCTGGGGTCTGGAGGACTCACCTGGATGCCTGACAGTTTGCAGGATTATTCATGGGGCCTTGCTAGGCCTGTTCTGGTCGGTTTTAGGGACCCTGGGAAGTGTCATGATTGCCAAGGACTGTAGGAGGGGAAGAAACCCAAGAATGATTAAGAAGGATTGCGCATGCATCATATCTTATCTTAGAATCACTTCTTGATTGGGTGGCTCAAAATATTGTCGGAATCAGCCTAAATGTTACTTCTGTGTTTGTGCGCAGTTTTTACTCTTCCCCAGTGGCACCCCAGGGAAAGAATTTTGTTTTAGGCCCAAATACATTTACTGCCTAATAGTGCCACAAAGACCATGGTACAGAGTAAATATTTGATGATAATGAAGAGAAGGTACTTTTGTCTAAATAAACATATGGTCCTTTGCCACACCTCAGTACTTCCGAGTCCATTAGTTTTGCTATCTGCATGGCTCTGGAAACTACCAATCCAGATCCCAAAAGGCTGGAAAAGCTTTCTGATTCTATATTTCAGTGAGTGAGAAAAAAAAAAAAGTTAATTTCTTCTTTACAGAAACTATTCACAATCTCTTAGGAGCAGATGAGATGCCAACTTAAAAAAATACTGTGTGAACATTTCTGCAAAGTGAGTCTTATCTTACTTTGAGCTCCTATTACAAAGGAAGGAAACCAAGTTGCAAAAAATTCCAGGCTGTTGGTTCCATGCTTGGGAGTGCCTGTGAATTTCAAAGCAGGGCCCCATTAGGGGAGGGCAAGGAAAGACCAAAGAAAGAGGAAGACCATTCCAGGTTGGTAGGTAGCAGATTTTATAAGCAAAGGGGCTCATGCACTTGGCTTGTCTTGGGCGGCTACAAGACGAGTAGGTCTCCACACCCGCCAGCCAGAATCTTAAGAGTTAGAAGCCTTGCCTGGGTTCAGTCAGTGTAGAGGCCAGATGATCTCAGTAACACATTGCTCTCTTAAGGCAGTGTCCTTGAAGTGGCCTCACTGTGGGCAGAACATACATTTCAAGGACAGAGAAGGGCTGATAGGAGCCTCTGCTTCCCTAGGTCCAGTTCATGGGTCAACCGGACGTCACGTCTACTCTTTGACCTCCTCCTACAGGTGCCCACATATAATTCATTTATTTTGAGTACCATTCTGATATCTTAAATTTATCCCTTTCTAGAGTCTCGTTGCTATAGCACCTGCAAATTTGTGATCGTACCCTTAGGATGATGTATTAGGTTGAATAGTGTCTTCCAAAAATTCATGTCGAGCCAGAACCTCAGAATATGACCCTATGTGGAAATATTTTTGTAGGTTAAATCAAGTTAAGATGAGGTCCTATTAATCCAATGACTGCTGTTCTTATGGGAAGAGAGAAATTTGGACACAGACAGCCAGAAAGAACACCATGTGAGTACTGACGCAGAGACTGGAGTTATCCTGCCACAGGCCAAAGAGTGCCAAGACTTGGTGGCCACGGCAGAAGATAGGACAAGGGTACACAACACATTCTCACTCTGAGCCCCTAAGAGGGAACTCACCCTGCCAGCACCTTGATTTCAGACGTCTGGGCTCTAGAACTGGGAGAGAACGAGTTGTTCTAAGCCACTAAATTTGTGGTCATTTGTTATAGCTGCCCTAGAAACTGATACATAAGTATGCATGACATACATATCCCAAAGGTTAGTTTGGAAAGTTGGCCTAAACACAGCTGAAATGAGAAAAGATTAAAAAAATACCAAGGGCATATTGAGCCAAGGGCTGAAATACCCTTCCCTGTTGAGCGTTGACAAGATTTGGTTGGGAAAATACGTATTTATTGGGCTCCATTTGACTCTGCTGTTCCCTCTTCCTTCTGATTTCAGTAGCACAACACACTCCACACACCCCCCTTTCCCAGACTTTCTTCCCCGTCACTTTCTCGGGCTTCTTGTGTCCGGGGCTCCATCCTTGACATTCTTCTCTGAATCCAGTCTCCCAAATGAACACATCTGTGCTCCTGAATTCAGTGATCACTTGTGCATCGAGGACCCTGGATCTTTCTTCCTGTTGCAGTAATTTCATCTGAATTCCAGGCCATCTTATTCGTATGTCAAAATCAATTTGTCCAAGTTAAACCCTTGACTTTTCCCCCATGTGATTCTCTTATACTGAGGGAACAGCCCAACCTTTAATTTAGATACTACATTGAAAGGCCTGTGAATGACCTTTGCTCTGTCCTCCCTCATCATCCATCATCCACCAGGTCTCACCTGTGTAACCATCATTGGCGAGGCACCAGGGGGATGTATCCCTACTCTGTCCAACTTCTCAAAGGAAAAATAGTCCCATAACTGTCAGGAACACTATATAGACACTAACATGGGTATAGATATATGAAATAAGCTATGTCAGTTGTGAAATATAATCATGATTCTGTTGTTCAACTACTATAAATATCTAAAATTACATGCTTGGCAGTGTTTGGTAGCCAAACTAATGGAGTTGGAAAGAGCCGGGAATTTTCTGAAGAAAGTAGCTTCATCCGGTAAGCAGTAGATGCGAATTTGTAATTGCCCTCACGGACAAGAATTCTCTATTTGGGGGGCAATATGTCACATTTGATATTTTAAAGATACACTTAAAATTTTTTTAATGTTTATTTATTTTGAGAAAGAACGTAAGCATGAGCAGGGAAGGATTAGAGAGTGAGAGAAGGGAAGCATAAGCAGGCTTCACGCTGTCAGCACAGAGCCCAGTGCGGGGCTCCAACCCACAAACCATGAGATCATGACCTGAGCAGAAATCAAGTCTGATGCCTAACTGACTGAGCCACCTAGGCGCCCCAAAAGATTCACTTTTAGGTCTGAAAGTATGCTGCTGTCATGATGCTGCTTAAGACATGATTGTGGATGATGCCAACATCACTTCTAAGGAAACTCAGTGGAAATTAAAGTGTTCTTTTGTAAATGTATTCCCGTGAAAAACCGAATAGGCCTCCAGAAAAAAATTTTTAATCTACAATATG